TTCAAGCCACGCTAGAGTTCACTTCAACCGAACTGAGACCTAGGATTTTAGGCGGACCAGAGTTTGCTTTTTTGATCTGCATCAGAGTTCAATTGCGCATTCACACCTCCCCAAACGAACTGGACTTTCTAGGCAAATGGATTAGAGTTTGATTAAAGTGGACTAAACAGGGCTGGGGTGAAAACACCCTGAGCTTCTGCACCTTTACGCTACAGCTGGAACCCTGAGGTTTACGATTCGGTTGCTTTTGGACGTTCTCAGATCCAGTCAGGAACAGAAATGACAGAACCTTATCGATGGTAGGCCCCACTCTGCCTTGAGAAGTAGAGCTGCTCAAACCATTGATTATTTTAAATATTTGCTTTAAATTTCTCTCCGCGTTGACCTTCAAGCTGAGTTGAGCAGAAAATCTTGGCTTCTCTTGTCCAAGCTTAATCTTTTGTATTATATTTTAAACATTGGTTTCATTTGATTGTTTTATGATTTATAAAACCTTTTATGGCATATTTACTGACATTGTATAGCACTTTGGTCAACTATAGTTATTTTAAAATGTGAGCTAATCTTCATATATAATAGACAGTAGCTCCAACAACCTCACAGTAAGCGGCACAACTATCAGTAATTAGGCCTTTTTTTTTTTTAGCAACAGAGCTGCTCACCTGCCCACAGTAGCCAAATGATATCCATTACCAGCATTTGGCAGTGTCTGCTAGTCTTCCAGCCTGGCAGACATGGCAAAAACAGCATATCAGTGGGCAGAAAAGGACACGGAAATGCAGGGACAAGCAACCAATAGAGGAAATATTAAACTAGCTGTGCAGAGAGAATAAGGTAGGAGGATAAAATGATCAGCATGAAGTCTTTTCTTGCTGCGCTGGACCGGACAGTCAATCAATAGAATAATCTGCTGCAATTTCATATAGATCAATGTCCATTTTCTGCACCTAATCTCATGCTGTTATATCACAGCATGAGTCATTAAATGCTCTCAGCTGCTAGTCAGAAGACAAAAAAACAGAGCTTAGTTTTGAGTTAAATCATTGCTGTATAAATATAATCTGGTACTTGTGCTTTGTGTTTTCAATTTGGCTCTGTGATGGATTAAACAACAAAATAAAATAAAGAAAGCTCAAAAAGAGCTTCACTTTAGAAAATGAGGATGATCTTCGCCTACTAGAATCAAACTTTAAATCATCTTTCACCTTTCTTGTAGCATTTTTGTGTTAGCTAAGGTTGACTAGCATATATGGCCATATTGATTTCATGTGACTCGAAAAGGTGATCGCTTGTAGATGTACAACTGATAAATGCATCCTGAGAGTTTCAATACAATCTAGTCAGTAGTTCAGTATGAGCTTTTTTTTTTTTTTAACTCAACAAATGAACACATGCCAACACAAACAAAACAAAACGGATCAGTTTTTATTTGTCTTTATTATAGTGGTGGGTGCTAAAACATTTCAGCAGTTCAACTATATATTTAATATTTTTCTTATAAAAATACAGCAACTTATGCAGTGACTTTTGCTTTGATCTTAACATAAAAGTGTGCACCAAAATATTTTCCTGTCTTTTGTTGTTTTGATTTTTTTTTTGTTTGTTTGCTTGTTTTCTATGTATTTTCTTTGCAGCAGACATGTTAAGCAAATATAACTATGACTCAAAATGATGCAATAATGGCTCAAAATAAATGCATGTCTATTTTCTCAAAAATCTCCCTTCAAATCCAGATTTTAGATCCCGGCACACCAGTATGTTGTGCAATGCATTTTCAGACTTCCCAGGGGTTCTCAGTCCATTACCCAGCTCATTGTTTTTACTTCTTGCATATGTCAGTGGCTTTTTGGTTTGTTTGTGAAGGAAAAAGAATGAGGAAATATAAACAGAGTTCACTGAAGCAACTGAAAAAAGTTCTGAGAGCTGGTGAACACAAACTGATAGAACATTTAGTCGATCACTGGGGGGCTGGTGGTGCCTGTCCCAGCAATCGTCAAGCAAAAGGTGGGATACACCCTGACCAGATCACCAGTTCATCACAGGGTCAACATGAAAACACACAAGATGAACAGTCGTGCACGACAAACGTAACCCAATATGCATATTTTTTAGAAAGGTTGAAGGAAACCAAGATACAAAGAAAAATCCATGCATGCACAGGAAGAGCATGCAAACTCCACGAAGGGTTGGGTAAACATTAAACCTTTTTATTAAGACAAGACCGTGCTTAGCATGAGGTATTTACTTTATTGCAAGTAATATAACACGTATGCCTATTGTGGATGCTGGCAAATGTGATTTAGTCATATTTGTTTAATTCAAGTAAGTTTTTGGTCAGCTATAAAGCCTGTGCCACTTATGCTTTGATGCACAGATACAAAGCAGTAAGCATTTTTATTTTATTTTATTTTTGCTTCATTCTATTTCCTACCCATTAGTTGTTTGGTATAACCTTACCAATAGGCTTTAGATTATATTTTAATTTTTGTAGTTTATATTGTCAGCTCTTTGGGGTGCTGTGGAAGCTTGATGGACAGTGCAGTGACCTTGTAATCCTGAGGTTGTGGGTTCAAGCCCATGTTGTGTCAGGAAGGGCATCTGGCATAAAACAATTGCCAAATCTTCCATGCGAGTTTGCCCGCTGTGGTAATGTCTGAAGAAGGGAGCAGCCGAAAGCAACTTGCTTGCTTGCTATTCTCAGCTCTTTCCTCATTGACGTTTAATTTTAATGGGCTGCCTTTTTAACACTTGATTGGTGTTAAACGGTTTAGTTTTGTCCAGAACACATGGAACATTACAAAGTGTTGCAGTCACGTTGTCAAAGAAATGGACGGAACTGAAAGTGAGTTTAGTCATAATAGCAGATATGTGCAGTACATACACAGCTATAATGCAATTAATGGAATAATATCCTTGAAGGAAATGTACATCGGACACCACATAAATATATCTTAAGGAATGATGGAGTTGTAGCCACAGCCTTTATCATAGAAGATCACTGCTTTGTAAAAGAAAACAGATGTGAAATATGTTCCATCGCTCTTGCTGCATATAGTCACACACCTTTGCCTCAATATTGTTATCTGCAAAGGATCATATTTGTCATATCTCAGCATTAAAGAGGCCTCCTTTGATGCATATTCGGTTGTATCAACAAGCTCTTCTCTCTCTGTAATGATGCTTGTGGAGATTTCTTCAAAAGATTGTGTCACTGATAGAGATTTGTGTTCGTAATAATGAGCCCCTGGAGGACAACTAGAGACCTTCGAGTAGACATCCATGATCGACTGACACAATTCAGTCACTGTTCAAGCAGAAAATGCATATTGATTTGTCAGAAATGGTATTGGTATTGATCGTGTTTAATTTACAGACTAGGTTTTAAGTTTCAATTCAATGGCTGTGCAAAGAAAAACTTTCTTGATTCTGATCAGTTTCAAGTGGAAAAAAAAGAAGAATGGAAGTAAACAAGTCTTTGGAGTAGAGATGCACGATATTGTTTTTTTGGCCAATATCCGATATGCCAATATGTAAAACTTATTTGATCAATAATTGATACAGATATTGATATTTTTCCCTACACCTGCTTACAGAGACTACATAGCTTTCTCTGCTATGGAATTAAAATACTACATTATGCTACATGGTCTTTGTCAGTTTGGCCTGCTACCAAATGCAGATGACACAAAGAGGGCTGAAAATGATGTAACACTTCAACTTGGATTATGTTTAATGTCAAATTTATTCATAACATGTACTCTCTCTAACACAATGACAACACTTGAACAGTGCAAATTTGTACTTTATCACAAATCTAAACTCAACGGCACGCGTGATGTCAACTCATTGTGCTGGCGCTGCAGGCATCCTTGTCACTGGGTTGTCATACAAAAACAGCACCTTTCATTTATATATATATATATATATATATATATATATATATATATATGAGTTATTTTGATGGAATTGCCAATGTCCGATATTTAACTTTATCGCTAATATCAGCCGATACCGATACCATGCTGATATTATCGTTCGTCCCTACTTTGAAGTATAGCGAGGTTGCTTCTTTTTCTGCTTGCAACACTTGTCCTGAAAATCTATTGTTTCCCGCACACCTACCCTCAAAGCTTTGCATTCAAACATAATTAGGATAAACTGTAACTATATTCTAACACATACTCTGTACTTAGCTCATTTGACAAGGTGAAGATATGGGTCTTATTTAATATTTGTGATTTTTTGATAAGACTTTGTGGTCCATGTCTGCTGTGTATCCCCTAATGTTGTCAAGTGAGGGTAAAAAAAAACATTGCTCCTGGTTTGGTGGATATGCAGCGATCTCACTCAGGGTAAAATCAGGATCTGTTCCTTTTTATCACTTGTCTCTGGGAGGGGAAAAAAAATGTTTTCCTCCTGAATTATTAAAATTCACTGTCCTTGAGAGCAAGAAGAAATATTGACAAGGTTGGCAATATTTTTCACAACAAAAAATGTATTAGCTATATTTTAACCGTCCTTGTGGTTTAAATTGAACTAAGAATGATAAAATGCCTTTGTCAAAACTCATAACACTGTACATCAAAACAAAGCTTGGATTTATTGGCATAACTTATTACGCAACAAGATTCTTGAAAAAATATTTGGGCATAATGAAACATTTGTGACACTGCGACGGCAGCAGACACATATATTATGAGGCCAAAATGATTTTATGACATGAGAAATCTCAGAAGCAGCACAGGAACATTTTGTTTTGAAAAATTGACTTTAAACCACAATCTGACTTAAATCCATCAATCCTAAAATATGTCACACATCACAAAGATTTTACTCTCATTGAATATGCTGCCAGACTCATTATCCACAAGATCCACTTCGATTAAATCAAACTGTCTACTTATTTATCACAGATATTTCAACCTGAATATGAAATGTCTGTTGTGTTGTCAGATTGCTCACGGTGTAATTTCCACATCTTGTTCTTGTTTCAGTTGTGTTGCTGGATACAACGTCTGTGCTTGGAGAGCTGGGATGGAAGACGTATCCAATAAATGGGGTAAGATGGGCAGCTCTACTTGTGTTTGGTTTTACTCTATGGTATCTGGTTCAAATTGAAAGGCCACTGCACTATTAATGAGATCAATTACAGCTATGTGAACAGGTCAGAAGCAGAAATAATGACCTGTTCCAAATCCACATTTACTTTTCCGTCCAGATTCTTCCTTTCACATGGGAAATAATGTAGTTAATGAGTTTGTGTCTCAAAGGAATGTTGCAGTTTGTTTTTGGTCAATTCCCCTCATGGGTTCTTGTCATTTGTTTTATTTTAAAGCCATTTTTCAATTCAGTCTATAGGCCATTCTAAAAAAATAACTTTTTTTTTTATCAATTTTGCAAGGTTATTATAAAGAGAAAACAATTGAGATATTACAGGGAGACAGTCTGATTTATCCATGTTAAGTCATTTATCACTGTTGAATCCTTCTATTAAATAGTATAGTACAATGTAAAAAACACATCTTTATATAGTAAAAATTGGGGTTTAATTTGACTGTTTAGATATTTGTGTCAAAATAGGTTTCCTGGTGAATACTAAAACAAAGTCTGCATTCACAATACAGTATTTTTTTAATATTATTTGTTTGTTTGCTCATTTACTTATTTTATGTTGTTTCATTCCAGTCAACTGTACCTGAAAACAATGTTTCCTCTATGTTTGTGGATGTATGAGCCTGTGGCTTTACAGCAATACAAAGTTGAAAATCAGAACTTTGGAAACAAAGTGTCAAACAGAAAATGTACTTGCATCATAAAATATAGATAAACTGGAATATGGATATACTAAAAACATCAAGTGTAAAGTATCCTGATCAAAGCATTATAGGTCATTTTGTGTGAAACATTGAAGATTATTGTAATGTTTGTCCATTCTTTTTAGTATATACTAGTATGATCATGCAAAACATGTTTTGGGGTAAATTATGATCACCTGCTTTAGAAAGGCAAAATGTAATGCATGTTGGGGGGGGGGGGGTGCCATCAGTCAGTACGGATTTTATTAAAACTCTGAAAATTAATCTTTATATGTACGACTGATTAATTTTGGGAGTCAATGTACTTTAATAGGGCCACCACAGCCCATTGAAAATGCTAAATGGCCGTGACTCTGACAATTTAATAGATATTAAGCTAAAATGTTGTCTGGTAGTGGCTGGGAGTAGACACAAAACATACTTTAAGTGCTTCGTATTGTAAAATATATGTGCTTAAAACTTTTGCTTTAACTGTAGAAGTCAACCCTGTTTATCCATTAGAGAAATACTTCATGAACCACTCCAGAAAAAGTCTTCACTGCTTTTAAAACTAATCTTTTTGGTGTTGTTATCCAAGAGTGCTACTATATCTAATTGCCCTGTGCAAACAAATATTACTATTTGTCAATTTGACAGATGTTGAGATAGAATCTGATGTAGAAAGCGAGTCGTCCCCAATGCACGTTTTTAGTGCTAACATGTCTTGCACATCTCATCACGTGAGATCTTTCAGATTTTGAAATAAAAGACTAAAACGTTTTCATTTCTCATCGAATAATGATTTTAGTTTAAATCAGTGGAATGGAATGTGATGCACAATCTACATTTCCTCTAGTAATGCTAAGCATTTTAGATAATAATAATAATAATAATAATAATAATAATAATAATAATAATAATAATAATAATAATTATGTTTTGAAAGACCAAAAAGTATCCATGAGAGTACTGAAAATGTAGGGAAGAAAAGCAGAACCAGTTTTCATTCTCATCATTTAGTCATTTGAAACATCTTCTTCCACACTTGTCTTTGAGTTTTGACTTTAAACGATCCTCTGTGGGAAGATTCCTTCTCACAACCTTCTCTGTCTCTCCATCTCTCCCATCTTGGCCCTCGGTGGCCCATATCAGGGTTATAGATGTGATTACATCATGTAATTCGCGGTGACAGCCGCCCACAGCGTTGAGGAAAAAGGGGGAGAGGGAGTCTACTGCCTCCATGATTAAGCTGTCAGTCCTCTCCTCACTCAACCTCTATCCTTACCATTAATATTTAAGCCATCTAGGTGAAAGGGCCTGAGGGAAGGTGTGCTGATCTGGGAAGGTAAAATAGTTCAAATCCCCTTCACTAACTGGGAGCCAGTAGGAGCAAGTCAATCTCCACCATATTAGACACAGCCTGGTATCGGGCCTGTACAGCAGCACACGGTGCAGCTGCATATCAGGAACAGTCCAGTTGTTCTTGTTTTGGACATTATCAGTCAGTCCTGTCCAGTGCACATTAAAAATACATAAATAAATCATATGCTGCAACTTTTCCTAAACTGTTAACAGGTTATAACATTGGCAGGCACATTCGGTAGGTGGTCATATAATATGAAATTGAAGTTTCAAGTGGAGGAACTTATTTATGGATGAGTTTTATCAAGTACGTGCAACTCTTCACTGGTGGAAAGTAATTGGTTTTGAAGGAGTGCAGCTGTGGTGGTCCACCTGAAATGCAACCCACTGAGAAATTTGGTCAAACCGTTTTTGGGAAACTGTGACCGTAAAAATACATTTAGATTTATGTATCACAACATGGGGTCGACGGGCAAAAACGGGTAATAAAGTTTTTGCCCATGCATGTGTGTGCGCGCATTTGTTTGTGCATGTGTGTTTGCTGTTACCAAATTATCTCATCAACAATTGAACTATTTTGTAATCTAAATTGGTAGAAAGTAATTTAAAAAATGCACATCTAGAATGGATTAACTTTGGGGAGTAAACCCAGTTCAAGATGGCCGACATGGCCAACCGACCCTATAAAACACAAAAATGGTTATAATTGTGCCAATTTTATAGATATTAATCAAAAAATTGGTGTGGCAGTAGCTGAGACTGAGCTATTAAAATAGATGATGTACAAGATCCTTAAATAAAATATTGCAAAAAAAACTATTTAAAGTCAGCTCTGTCTGTCAGCAAAATATCTCATGCACCACTGGACAGATTTTGGCAAATAGAAAGTAATCACTGGGTAGACATCTGCATCTGCATAGCTTTTGGAATATATCCTAATCAACTTGGGATCTACATTCATAAAATAGATAAAAATTACAATAAGTCGGACAGTTTTACCAGAACCAAAGTTTAGTGCAGTGGCAGCTTAGTTATCCGCAACACACTCTCCAAACATGACATTTTACAATATTGCATGAGACTGGACAGCATTTTATTTTCAATTTCAATTTTCTATTTTATTTTTGCCTTTTTTTTTTTGTGGCACTGGTAATGCACGTAGTAGTAGGTGATAAAGGTTTGGTTTACTACCAATTCTGGACTCTAAAGTCCTCACTGTGGGCATACTTATGTGTAATTATCACTGTTGTCTAGCATTGATTTTAATTAAAGAGAACATTGCACTGGAAAGACTCAGACTCTCCACTTAATTAATTGTGGTTAGTATCCCACTATTCTTGGATTGCATTTCCTTGTTGGTCACGTTTTAGACATCATTTGCAAACGTCAAAGCCGTGAGCGCATATTTACTCTGTGCAAACATGATCATATGTCTTGGTCATGGCTATATTCATTAGCAAGGTGCCCTATGATTATTTTATACCCGCTCTGCTCAGATTTTAAATAGACCTGTTTCAACTAGCCGCCAGGGAAAACATGCAAGGAGGGCTTGTTTGTTAGTAATTTGAATGTGGGAATTTTCTCCCAGTTGGTAAATACATTCACCCTTAAAGGTTGTCGTCATTAGATTCCTGCATATTGAACAGAAATCTCACTCAAGGGCATACAGGACTTTCTATTTTTTTGTATGTTTTGACAAATGTTTGGTTGAAAAAGAAAAGGGGTGCTGATTTGTCATTGGTAAATATATAGAGATTTTTATGTGGCAAAAATCTGTTGGCTTTGTTTTTTCGTGTTTATAACTGTTGAACGGTGATAAAGAACAATATGTCAAGAAATGATTGAAAGTAAGACAAAGAGAAACGAAAAGAAAGAGGGATGATTTGGTGCCTGCATGCAGCCACAATAAGCTCTCCTCAGAATGGGCAGACACCATGCTGAAATATGCATGAGTCCTTCCTCAGTGGTGGGTGGTGGTGTGGGAACAAGGGTGAAGCAGTGAGTAGAGCAGCTTATTTATTAAATTACATAAAACAGCCTTAAAGGATTAAGAATGCCTATAATGTTACCTTTTGTTTTCACTTGTTGATATTATAATGCAGAATAGAGAAATAATGTAGTTGTTTGTCATGAAAGGGAGAGAATAACCCTGTTTTCATCTGTTGTCAGAGACTTTGTGGAGAATAGTCTGAAGTTATTTGTGTTTGAAGAATAAGGAGTATAATATAAATAGTGTTGCTGAAAGAAACTGCTTGTTAAATGTTAAAATAAAAGGGCTTATAGTATTTTTTTTCTCTATGTGCATTTTTTCAACCCTAATAGAGTACTTTTGATTCTTTTGATTCCCAAGGAGTTCAGTTGGCAAAACAAAACCTACAAATGTTAAAGGATGTGCGGTATTATTTTCTGCATGTCATCAGTCCAGCCAAAACAACTGTCATTTTGTAAATAAAAAAATAAAAAAATAAAAATGCATGTTATTTAGTATTACTAACGGGGAGTGGTGGAGCTGAGGTTAGGGAAGGTGAGCCTGTGATAGGAAGGTAGCCACTTTGGCTCCCTGGATCAACATCAAAATGTAGGTGGGAAAGGTGAAGCACAAACACCTGTCTCCATCATCATTTCCCCCACTCTGGGCCCTTGAGCAAGGCCCTTAACCCCCACCATCTTCTCCCCTGGGCATCCTAGATAGCAGCTCTCTGCTCCACACAGAGGGCTGTTGTAGCTCGGTGGTCTGTGGTTATGTCAGGAAGGGCATCCGATGTGTCAGGAAGGGCATCCAATGTAAAAATAATCGACAATCTTTGTACGAGTTAATTTGTCGTGGCGACCCCCGAGGAAGGGAGCAACCTGTATAAAGAAAAATAATTACTACTTAAACTTGAACAGTTTTTGCCTAAAC